CAAATACCGGAAAATTGGAAGTTGGCTCACATCACACCAATTTTCAAAGGGGGTCGACGCAATGAACCTTCAAGTTATCGGCCGGTGGCTCTTCTGTCATTACCTTCAAAACTCATGGAGTCCCTGATATGCGATGGTTTAAACGATTATCTACTGTCCTTAAACTTCTTCTCACCCCAACAGCATGGTTTCAGGAAGGGTTACTCTTGTATAACCAACCTGCTGACTGCGGTGGACAGATGGACAAGCATCCTCGATCGCAAGGGAAAGGTTGATATCATATACCTTGATATCTCAAAAGCTTTTGATAAAGTTAACCACTTGTGTCTTATCAATAAGCTCAAACGACTAGGTATCAAACCACCTCTAATCGATTGACTTACTTCATACCTAGAAAATCGACACTTTAAGGTCAGGGTTAATTTCACTTTATCTCAGGCTATGGAATGTCCTAGTGGGGTTCCCCAGGGCTCAGTATTACGGCCTCTCCTCTTCTTGATCTACATAAACGATCTTCCTCAACAGGTAACGTCAGACTTATTATTTTTGCCAAACGAGGGAAAATTTTGAGAAAAAAACCCAAACCAAAAGAAAAACAGGCCACTCAGGGAGGACTTAACAGATCTAAAAAGTGGGGCGGACATAAGGGAAATACTTTTAAACATTAAAAAGTAAAAATTAGCCATTTGGCAAATTGCCGAAAACACATTTAAAACCTAAAAAACCCTCTCTCGAGTTGTAACACATATAAAAATATTTATGAGTCCTGGTGCCCCATATTATATAATCTCTCACTAAAATTGAAAAAAAAATCCCCTCAGAACAAACCCCGCTAAGAACATATTGGAGCATTTTTCCGGACTGTGTGACAAAAAAACTTTCCATACTCTTTTCTATTTTTATATCCCCCCCTATAGAGTGCAAAAAAATACTACCCCCCCCCCACACAAAAAAGACACGAGCACTTTTGAGCGTGTACCACGGAGAGACACAAAAAACGCTCGCGGACACAAAACTAAGACCTACAGAAAACACCCCCCCTTTCTACACCCTTTCACATTAGAGTATAAGGGTCTTTAAGGATTTATTTTTATATGTTTTAGTATTCTTTACACCTTTCGACACACCCTCTAACACCTACTCAAAATTATTACTAAAAAAATAACAAAGGGCAACACCCAAAAAAACGAAAAACAAAATAGCAAGACGGGATGTAGACACAACTTCTACTCCTTAAGAGTTGTCAAAAGCTGGAATTCGCTGCCGGCCGAGCTAGTCCAAGCGACTTCTCAGGAGTCCTTCAAGAGGCAACTTGACCTATTTTTAAGGACCAAGGACAGTATCATACTATGATTTACCGATTTCTTTTCCTCTTTTATTGTTAACACATCTAGGTTCCTGCCTGGAGGATTTGGTGATCCCCTGCTACTAGACACGGAAGCCTGTTAAGCGAAAGCTTCTTCTATTCCGTCCACAACAATTTGAACCATTTGAAGGATAATATCTTACTATGATTCACCAATTTCTTTTTCCCCTATTATCTTTAATATATCAAGGTTTCTGCCTGGAATTCTTGGTGATCTACTACTTCTAGACACTGAAGCTCGTTAAACAAAAGCTTCTTCTTTTACGTCCATAACCAATTGAACAATTTTAATTGCCTTTCGGGTACAACTAGAAGGCGCGAAGTATCAATAATACGTTACCAGGATCACATGTTTTCCTGCACTGACTTAAGCACCACACAGTCGAGTTAGGTTTCTGTGAAACAACATTAAGATATTAAAAGCTAACCAAGATTAAATGCACTTGTCAACCTCTGAATTATCTTAATAAAAATGTTAACATATATCATAATTCTTTGATAAAATTGATTAGTAACGTAGCTGTGTGTGATTTTAAAGACTAGATCGTTGGAATCACATTGGTTTCCTTCTTTTAATTTGTACTTATTTCACTGAAAGATAACTAGTTTATAATGTTGAGGCTTAGAATGCGATCTTTGTCATGTATCCAAGATGCTTGCTTTAAATATTAGTCTTTGGATTCGTCACATTTGAGTTAGTTCAGCAATGTCTTTGTACTAAAGTCCATTTTGCATATTGTTGGTTCGTAGGTGAGCCTGAACCGTTGGTTTGACATAACGATATGACAGCTATCTCAGTATTGAGGATAGAAGACTGACGGCTTGTGTTTTCTCTTTTCTGATGAACTTCTGTTAGTGTTTAGTCTTCGCTTGAGTAAGTTAAATAAATGTTCCAAAAGTTGATGACTTAGTGTGGGAACCTATATGTCATTGATATTCTGTTAGTGCTTCACTTTTGAACTCGCCTAGTATGTTTCTCAAATTGTCTTGATTTGGAAGGATAAAGAAAGCATTTTTGGTTCAAAAGCATTTCTGAGTATTTCATATATTGAAGACATCTACTGTAAAACGAAATAAAGAGGTCCCAATTCTCAAGCCATCCTGTTTATAATAAACCTGTAAATTATGGAATTTCATAGGTACCTATCGTCTTTACTTTTTCCAGGATTTCCTAGTCACCTTAGCAAAGTGTTTTTGTTTCCACAAAATGTCTTCCGTTTGTACTTCAGTTTATTTGCCTAAGCCTAAACTAAAATATCTCTACAAAGACACCTAAACTTAGGGAAATCAAAGAAAAGCTTCGATTTCTTGCATAACATGTATAACTGCTTGAATAACTAGTAAATTTGTGATATGTCTCCTACCAAATATCTAGCTTTGCTATAATGATCTGAGTACTATTTTGGGTAAAATTAGTTCTTGTTAATTAATCACTTAATTTTTTTCTCAAGATTTCATAACTGCCTATAGAGGCCAGACATTTCTAACATAAGGAGAAATAATGTGGCACTATTTTCTGTCTTCGAGAATAATGTCCGTTAGTGCCACTTTTATTTGACAGTTAGGTTTACCTACCATACTGAATGTCGGTGACATCATCACAGTGCTGTGTAAATACAAGGTTTGGCAGTGACGGTTCGTGTTCCAAGTCAATATGTCGGTTTTGCAATACATTGTATAAGTGCACACCGAATAATGGTTGACAGCATGCTGCCATCAAAACATCCATCTGAAGCTGTAAGCTCTATCTACTTGATATGCAGCGCGTTGAAATCTTCAACGCTGAGATAGCAGTCGGCCTTACCCCAAGAACAAATATGACTTAAGACGAAGTCGTCAGCAAGACAACGTGTACAACAGTATATTCCTCTTATAGTCATTAACCCGTGTCTAGATTCAATTGTATAACAAGCTACCTCACATACACCATTATCATGTGCTTTTGATGTGCTCGATTGTACACGAAAGTGATCCAACATATAATAGTCTTTAGTTCGATTTATAACTATCACTTCTAATGCAAATGTATCCCGTAATGCTTGGAGAACAGTCTATATCTATGATGAGTCACGTTTCTTTGGTAACAAATATATCGGGACCTAATTCATCGAACTTAGCTCGGACGTTTTATTTCTGAGACTACGAGCGTTTATGTAGCATACATTTAAGGTGTTTTGACAATCGCTCGTTCTACCCATACTGGTTTCGGAAGCATTGGCTTCCAAGACCTAACTACCCAAAAACTGAATATTAAGGTTCTTTTCGCCATTTTACTTCCAATTTTTGAACTCAGTAAGGGCATTCTTCTACGTTATTCAATACTCAAGTAGCCAATCTGGTCGTATTCGAATAACGAGTTTTGTATGCCTTACTTAGTATAACTTCCCCTTCCGAGTAATAACTTCAAGATTCTTCTTGGTTGGGTCTCACCTTCAACCCACTTACCCAGTCTTATTGCTCATGTAATATGTAATTCCGAAACCTCTTCAGACAGTACATTTTTGATGACGAATTCCGCAAACTCCAAATCGTGTACATGCCTTGTAGCACGATGATTTCTTCTTGACTCCAGATTCCAATTAATTAAACTAGGAACGAATTTGTCTTCTTTAAAGTCATGTTCACAACTTTCGATTATGTTTCCATTTTCTGTTGTTAACTACTGTGAACTTTTCTTTAGTTGTTCTTCGGTTAGAGTCATTTGATTTGAGCAAATTACTCGTAATATTCGATGAAATCACCCTTTTTCCAACAACTCTAGCGTCAAGTATTGTCTTACTTCGGGACTTTAACGGGTTATTTTGTGACCCAGTGTGATTCTACTAAAGACTTATCAACCAAACGAGTGCTGTTTGTGACTATGTTTATTTCTCTTCTGTATTCGCATTAGCCTCCATTTCCTGTCAGCCAGGACTACTTAGGACGGTGAGAGGTTTATCTGGGTTATCACGTACTACTGTAGAATCGTGACCACCAATATCCATTGGCATTTCATTCTTTATTTATTTCAAGAGAGATTTTCATCTTGCGTGTTTCTCAGTCGGGTGTTTGACTCGTCCCGTAACAGCACTTACTACACTAATACATTCGCCGACAGTACTCATGTTACCGGTCCAGCCCTCATAAACTTTCTTGCTGGCTAATGCCAGAAGGCTTATTGCCTCTTGGATCAGTAATGTCTTACTTTAACAACAAAACATGCAAGACCTATGGGAGTTAGGCTTCGAGCATCTTTAGCATGCGATAGGATTTAAACGGGTACTCACCTTGTGGAACCACTTTCTGCACTCGTCACATAGCATTCCTTCCCCCACAGGTAAGAAACAATCTGGCTGAATAGAGACGAATTTCTAAGGACATACGTAGGTTAGTTACTGAGAAATCATGTTTAGCTTTGGTAAAATATTGTCTATCACTCCCAATTTCCAAATGGTCATCATCCTTTAATTGCAAACAAGATCCAGAAAACAAAGTAAACCAATAATTCCTTGTTAAACCAAGTGATGCAAGGTTTTAATCGATTTCATAAACTCGTTATGACGCAACACGTTTCAAATGAAGCATTTATTTACCTTTCAGAAGTTCAACCTTGTCGTTGACTAAAGATTTAGATATTTTTCATTTACTTCACTTAATGAGGATGGTAAAAGCAAACAGCGGACATAATTTCGAACTTCTTCAAGAGAAGGTATGGTGGCTTTTTTCAGTTCATTGCACACTAAACAGCTTGATAAACAGACGGATGCATTGGAACGTAAAATGTTAGATGTAAAGCCGTGGTATTTACAAGGTGAAGTTGCAGCTACTAAACGAAATGAGAATACCTTGCTTGAAGAACACTTTGACGTACAACGCCACGGTCTTTTCAGTAAGTTTAATGCTATACATTCTAAGATTTCTTTAGAGCCAGATGTTCATGATGAAGCTGCTATAAATGACTACATTATAAAAGCCATCAAAGAAAGAGTTAGTGAAATACTAAGTAGTGATTTTCTTTCCAGATGTTTGACAGTCCTGTTTTCAAAGTTAAGGAATTTAAAGGGCCTTCTAAGGAAATCCCATTACAAAATGTTGTTCAGAAGTCACTGGTAGAAGAGTATGAAAGTTTTCTCAAAAGAAATCAGGTAGAAACTACATCTGACATCTTATTTCTAGATTCTTGAAGAAGACCAAGGAGACCCTCAAAAGAATGCAATCCAAGCTGAAATGTTGGAGCTCTTCGACAAGTTAGATAGACTTTCTAGTCTCCATTTTGTGCCACATAAGGTGTGTCTGACTATTCTCTCATTTCAAATTGTAAACTCGGATTAAGTAAGATCGACGTCACTGTTGTTTATTAACATACATAAGTTATGTGTAACAGTACCACCTTTTGATCTGATTGTTCCCTGTCGATAAATACCTTTCCTTGTTAAAAACCTGGGAAAACCAACCACCATCATATCCTCAGGAGCGCTAAAGTTCTTGTTGACTCTGAGACCTCTTCTTTGCCTCCTTATTTTTCTATCACCAAACTTCCTTACGTCTCACTGGTTCTAACAACTCATCCTTACGACACGTCACTAGTGATTTCTTAGAACTACTCTACACATTACTTGATGTTACTTCAAAATGCTTAAATCCTATCCGTTGTAGGAGTAAGTCTTATTGTTCAAGATTTTAAAGCTTCGTCCCATTATTGTATGGTGCCCGAAACGCAGATACAGAGGACATGTGCGACCACTCACTTAATCTAAGCTAAATAACAGAACCGTTCTACTCTTTGTTTAAAGACCCACGTAAAACTCCTTGCGGTAGCCTAAAATGACATCTGGGTGTACTTTTTGACAATAAAAGGATTACTTCAATTATCATGGTTTCCAAAATGTTTAGTATCTTGTCCATCTCAATATGGAAACTAACTTAATAATTTAGAGGCCTTGAGATATGTTGTGCAGGCAAGATGTTCTATTTGTCAGAGTACATATGATGTGCTATATTTCAGCTTCTAGTCCATTACGAGTGTGAAGCATTGTCTATAAATATTAAGGACATGTATGTTTCTACTAATTGTTCATATAGATCTTACCTCTTGTGATGAAGTGAATGCTTGGAATATTATAACTTTCGGAACCATCTTATAGACTAATATTGTTTGTTTTTATCGCACTTATCAAACAGATTATTGTATTTCTACGTTCCGTTCAACCAATTAACTAATGTAATATATCTTGCCATTCTTTGTTGTTAATTGGTTATTTATCGTTTGCTCCGTTCTCGGGAATGTATGACTTGATTGTGTGAAGGATGCTCTTTTATCTAGAATGTGTTGGTTATGATAATTTACGTATACAAACCGAATGTTCGAACTAAAAAGATTGGGTGTCTGAAATGTGATTATAGAAGTTTGTCTACAGTGTTCTCTCATTCGAACTTAGGATGAGATAGAAAAAGGAGTGCGTATAGGCTTCCAAATGAAAGCTTACATTACCTCAACCGCAACTCAAGACTAACCTTGCCAGTCGAAGAGTACGTTTGATTATAGCTTAAGACGTTAGGCTATAGACCAGATAGTACAAGTGGGATTTTGATTAGGGGATCTACTATAGATGTCAGTTAATACTGCATTCATAACAGCTCCCTCATAGTTTTAGAACCAGGTGATTGATGGCAATACTATGTATAGGGTACTAGTGGTAAATCCGTTGAGAACCTTCATCGACTAAGCTAGTCACAAGACGACCTGCCATTGAGTGTCTCGTGGTGGGTTACCGGGTATCATATAATTGTAAAGTAATGGCCAGACAAAGAAATGAAATTAACCCATAAAATCGCTATATATATACATATATATATCAAAAAGTTCAGATTTCTCATCTGGAGACGTCACGTGGCATAGTCTATAGTCGGAGTGGTACAGATACATGCATTTTACATCTTATTTCATACATCTTACTCATTGATTTGACTTATTGCTTATGAAGTATTTTACCACTATTTACTTACGCATGTTACTCCCAATGGAATATAGGCCGCCGACCAGCATTATCGAACCCACTCTGTCCTGGGCCTTCTTTTCGAGTTCCATCCAATTCTTGTTCATTTTTCTCATGTCTATTTCCATTTCTCGGCGTAATATGTTCTCTGGTCTTCCTCTTTTCCTTTGGCCTTGAGGATTCCATGTGAGGGCTTGTCTTGTGACGCAGTTGGGTGCTTTCCTCAATGTGTGTCCTATCCACTTCCAGCGCTTCCTGATTTCTTTCTCCGCTGGGATCTGGTTTGTTCTCTCCCACAGTAGGTTGTTGCTAATAGTGTCCGGCCAACGGATCTGAAGTATTTTGCGTAGACAACTGTTAATAAACACCTGTATCTTCTGGATGATGGCTTTCGTAGTTCTCCAGGTTTCTGCCCCATACAGTAGAACTGTCTTGACATTTGTATTGAAAATCCTGACCTTGTTGTTGGTTGACAGTTGCTTTGAGTTCCAGACGTTTCTCAGTTGTAAATATGCTGCTCTTGCTTTGCCGATCCGCGCCTTCACATCTGCATCAGATCCACCATGTTCATCAATGATACTGCCCAGATATGTAGAAGTTTTTACATCTTCCAAATCTTCTCCGTCAATTGTGATTGGATTGGTGCATGCTGTGTTGTATCGGAGAATCTTGCTCTTCCCTTTGTGTATATTGAGACCTACTATTTCTGAGGCTGCTGCTACAATGGTCGTCTTCTGCATTTGTTGTTGCGTTTGGGAGAGAAGGGACAGATCATCTGCGAAGTCTAGATCGTCCAATTGCATCCTAGATGTCCATTGTATCCCGTGTTTCCCTTCAGATGTTGACGTCTTCATGATCCAGTCGGTCACCAGGAGAAAGAGAAAGGGTGAGAGTAAGCAACCTTGCCTGACACCGGTCTTTATTTCGAACGACTTTGTCAACTGTCCTCCATGCACGATTTTGCAGTTTAATCCATCATATGAATTCTATATGATATTGACTATCTTCTGAGGCACGCCATAGTGTCGAAGAAGCTTCCATAGTGTTGTCCTGTCCACGTTGTCAAATACTTTTTCGTAGTCAATGAAGTTGACGTAGAGTGATGAATTCCATTCAATTGATTGTTCCACAATGATCCGTAGAGTTGCGATTTGGTCTGTACACGATCTATCCTTACGGAATCCTGCCTGTTGGTCACGAAGTTGGGCGTCTACGCAGTCAACAATACCCTGTTGGAGACTTTTCCTGGTATTGAGTGAAGAGTGATGCCCCTGTAGTTATCACAGTTGCTGAGATTGCCTTACTTCGGTATTTTGATCAGAAGTCCTTCTTTCCAGTCTGTTGGTACTTGTTCCTCATCCCAAATCTTATTGAAGAGAATGTGGAGTATCCTTGCAGTTGCCGCTACGCCTGCTTTTAGTTCCTCTGCTGGAATGTTGTCCGTTCCTGCTGCCTTACCACTCTTGATTTGTCTGATGGCCATGTTGATTTCTTCAATTGTTTGTGGGCTAACATTGATTGGGAGGTGCGTGGGTGCTGCTTTGATGTTGGGTGGGTTCAGTGGGGCTGGTCGATTCAAGAGTTCTTTGAAGTGTTCTACCCACCTGTTTCGTTGCTCTTCAATGTTGGTGATTACCTCGCCTTCCTTGCTTTTCACTGGTCGTTCTGGTTTGCGGCGATTTCCAGAGAGTTTCTTTGTTATTTCATACAATTGTCTCGTGTTTCCTTCTCTTGCAGCCTTTTCCGCCGTCTTTGCCAGATCTTCCATATATTTACGTTTATCGGTTCTGATGCTCCTCTTCACTTGTTTGTTTACTTCTGTGTATTCGGCTTGTGCCTTGGCTTTCCCTGCTCTTGTTCGACTGGTATTGATTGCTGTCTTCTTGTTCCTCCTTTCTTGAATCTTATCCAGTGTATCGATAGTGATCCATTCCTTGTGATGGTGCTTCTTGTGACCCAGGACCTCATGACATGTTGAAGTGATTGCCTCTTTGATCCCCTTCCAGTTGCTCTCCACAGTAGTTCCTTCTCCATTGAGTAGATCATGAAAGGCCTGGAACTTGTTGCTGAGGACTATCTTGAATTTGTTGAGTTTGTTAGTATCCTGAAGAAAGGCCGTATTGAACTTTTGTGATATTGTCCGCCCCGTTGTTCAGTGCTTCTTGAGTTTCAACTTCCTCTTGGCGACCAGCAAGTGATGATCTGATGCTATGTCAGCTCCTCTCTTGGTTCTCACGTCCTCTATAATCCTCCTGAACGTTTTGTTGATGCAAATATGGTCGATTTGGTTTTGCGTGGTGTGATCCGGTGAAGTCCATGTGGTTTTGTGTATGCGTTTATGTGGGGATATGGTACCGCCTATGACCAGTTTATTGAAGGCACATAGGTTTGCGAATCTCTCGCCATTTTCGTTCCTTTCTCCCAGTCCATGTCGTCACATGATGTCTTCATATCCGGTGTTGTCCGTCCCAACCTTGGCGTTGAAATCTCCCATCAGAATGGTGAGGTCCTTTGTTGGGCAGTTCTCGATAATTGACTGCAGACTATCGTAGAATTGATCTTTAGCATCTTCATTGTAGTCGTTGGTAGGCGCATAGCATTGGGTGATATTCATTGAAATGCCCTCCTTTTTTGTTTTGAACGAGGCTTTGATGATCCTTGATCCATGAGATTCCCATCCTATAAGCGCATTTTGCGCTTGCTTGGACAGCATCAATGCAACTCCTTGTGTATGTGGGGCATTTTCTTCTTCATGGCCGGAGTATAACAGGAGCTCTCCTGAAGTTAGTCGTTGTTGTCCGACTTGCGTCCAATGTGTTTCACTGATCCCAAGTACCTCTAGGTTGTATCTTCTCATTTCTTCAACAATTTGGAAAACTCTCCCGGTGTCCCACATCGTAAGAACATTCCATGTACCTAAATAAATGGTCGCTCTGGTTGTCAGGTGTATCGGCCTCGTAACTTCCGAAGGAATTCGGCTTTCATCATGAGGCGTCATAGTTCTTCTAAATGAATACCTGGGGCAGAGTTTCAATAATTTTTTCTGGTTAGCGTTTTTTAGCGAGTTAGTTTTCTACGGGATGGGGACGCTAACCTCATGCCAACCCTCCTCCTTTATCCGGGCTTGAGACCGTCAGTAGCCCCCGGAGGTAATCCAGGCGGAGTTCTCGCTCTGCTGATGTAGTGTGATAATTAAGACTAATAAACATTAGCGTCGATCTCCACATTGTGTATCTTCTTTTTCATGTTTTTGGATAAACAATTATTGCTGATATGGTTGGCCAGAATCTTTTTGTCTCACACATAACATAGAAAGGTTAACTTAGTACCCTTTTGTATTCATTAAATTGAAGGTCAGGAGAAGAGTATTCACTCAGACCATCTGATAAAGAATAGAATTTAATAACTTGTTACCTTAGTATTTTATGCCTAACACCAGCTTTGTTCACTAAGCAGTTATACATTACGCAAGTAATGCTTGGTAGATATCTGATGGCTAATTATCTTCAACATATACAGACCTTCCAATTTGAAATGTAATCACATATTAGATTTTCCAACTTTCGTTAACGGAAGTGGTTTTGATAGTAACGTTTTTTTTAACAGACGTTTAAGTATGTGCGTGAGCACTTAGTAATATGAAATTTATTACAGATGAACTGAGACTGAAAACTTATGAAACACGCTGATAAGGAATTTTTTAACCATACTTTCTATGTTGCGGTTCTTCCACTTTAACAAATATGCTTAGTTTGTAACTTGCTTTTCTACTTTAATTCTGAATTTAGTACATACCCGCTTCCACGTCTGCTAAGAATGATGCAGCATCAAAATTAGAAGAACCTGGACCTACAGTCGTTTCAACAGCCAATCTCCTAGCTCCAGAAGAGATTTGCCCACCAAGAGGTGAAATACTTATTGGTAAAAATGAGCGCACTCTTGCTGACCGTCGGCGACATCGTCGAAAACTAATGAGGATAAGATCGAAACAACTTAATCCCCCGAAGAAGGGGAAAGTAAATGAACAGCAAATGGCCATGGCCAAAGTAACCAAAATGGCACATCGACCGAATTCTAACATTAAAATTGTAAAGTAAAATGTTGTATTTATTTTTTCAGCTTGCTAAGATTTATCCTTGCAAATATATATTCATAAATGTCCCTTATCTTACCATTTAAATTTTTAGAGTGCACCATGAAACAACATTTTAGGGAAGTTATACTGTAAGGGTCATCATATATTTCTGCTACAAGAGATATACTTTTTCATTGTCCTAGATTATTTTAAGTTTGATCCTCACGAGTGTAATCGAAAACGAGATGGGTAAATGTATGTACATATATATATAATTAATTACATAAATCTATTTCAAATCATTTTCAGGGGAAGCAGAAAACCATTCACTGTAGTTAAGACAAGGTGTTGTAGATGACATAGCCTTTAGAAATAGTATACATCTGCGAGCAGCATCTTTACGTGCACTTGCCAGGTTTGGTGATAATTGACTTTTGATTACATGTGGTGGTAGAGTGGAAAGTTCCGCAAAGCAGCAGATCATCCCTAAAAATTATAGTTCAGAATTAATTGAAGAATTTCGTAAAGTAGAATAATCAATATATCTTAACATTCAGGAATCGGAAATTGTGCTAAACGCCACTTGAAATTTAAAAAGCGTAAAATAATAGAGGATATTTATCGCGTACCTCCAAAAGTTACACAAATAACGTTCCAAATTGATATACTTTTAGAAAACATACTAATTAGTTGTAACCATTTTGCTGATACCTATGTACATTCCAACGTATTGGTTTAGAAAAAATATCGTTAATTTAGTCAAATTGTAGTAATGCTCAAGACATCTAAAATCCGACCTTTTAGAAAGTAGTTTAGTATATCCCATTTTAAAATAGTCGTAGTGTCAGGTCATTAATATGAAAGAACTCATTGATGGAGACTGAATAACAATACTGGCAATTAAAATCAGGAGTTTTAATTTTTATACTGTTTCAGCTGGTGTGGAAACTCGCTTTTCTATTAGGTCTTGTGTTTGGAACTTAAGGGCTACAAAGGTTGCCTACTATCATCACTCTTCGCTTGAAATGGCGATCTATATCTTGATTCATAGATCGTCACTACATAACTTGTCAAGTCAGTGAAGACTATTCTGTAACGAAACTTACTGAAGTTTGATTAGATACAAACAATTTTGAAAAGTAAACGAATGAATGGCATACCCTGACTGTTTGCAGGAACGTATGTATATACAACAGTAATTTTTGCACAATCACAAATCTCCTGAAGATATTCACATGCGTTATCCATCTTATCAGGGTTATCTATGGGTGGAACGCGTATTTTACCACCTTTTCTATTCCATAAACCACGAAGAGCTTTGGAAGAAATACGAGCAGTTGCCTCATTTTCTAATTTATTTTCCTTCAGATCAGACTGGTCCTGTTTGTCAAGCTAGTTTTTGCTAAATTAGGACATCGACAACTTACTAAAGAAAGGGTTTCTTCTTCCATATCATCCAAAGCCTCTTGAGGTATAGTCAGATTATTTTTGATAATATTATCTAAAAGTCCTAGGGCTGCGCGTCGCTTTGCAGATTTTTTGGAATTTCCGAATCCTGTAATATTCTCACAAAAGTGTTAATTTTACCTGTATGAGTCCATTTCCACAACCTGACTTTGCAACTGTATTCATTGCCCGATGGAGTAGACTGTGGTATGGTTAAAAATTCATAGGATGGCGGTGGCCAGGTATTTTTCTGACACAAATCCTGTAGCTGTCCAACAAAGTTACCTTCCTCTTCCTGTTTTATTTTATTTGGTAGACCATCCAGTTCTATATCATCAAGTGAGTCCATAAAGTCAGATCCTAGAACGTTGACCGCGGCAATATGTATATCCCGCAGAGTATATTTTTCCGACTCTGTCAAAAGCCTGCTGTTCAGCATCTTTAGCAAAATTAAGTATGATGCTTGATGTTTGGCTCTCTTCTTACTCGCTCCTGATTGGAAAACTGAACGGCTACGTAAACCAGTTACCTTTAGAGGTGGCACTGAATGGACCGGCTGTGCACAAAAATACATAAAGTGGCTCATGAATCGGTCCTTCACTTGACACAAGTTCGTAGATCGGAGTTATTCCTTTCTTTACGCACACTTCTTGTAAAATGCTAATTGGCGTTCGATGCGTTGCAATTTCAGACATTTGGATTATAAATCGCTAAGATTTAAGGTTTGTCTAAAAAGGAAATCCGATCAATAATAAGTACTTCAACGTGAAAAGCTTAGTAAAATGTTTATGGTAGATGAAGAAAAATATTGGGATAAACGGCTAGTTATCATTAACAGACTGATAATCACAATCTTCATTATTTAGGAAGTATTGGGTCCCTACAGATATAATAAACATCTTACGGCAGTTTGAACAGTTTTAAAAGAAGGTTGGACATTTTTGACAAAACAAAAGTGGCACAGTTTGTGTTTAATTGATCCTACTTATTTGATTAGAGCACAAACCGAGGTCCTATTTGGCTTAGCTAATTATATGCTGTATAAACCCCATATACAGTACTGGACGTTGAGCGTAACCTCCGAAGCCAAGTCAGAGTCTGACTTTAAGAATATATCTTTTACTGAGTTACCGTTAACTGGAAGCAAGAGTCAGATTTTTTAATTAGCCTCTATTGAGCTTATTCTAATATTCCGCCATCGTGCTAAAAATAATTGAAATACATCAAAGGTTGAAGACATTTCACAAAATTGCTTATAAACGGCTGACATGACCATGTTACTTTGCAAAGCAGTACTTAGGATCAACTACTTAAGAAATAAACCATAATGTAATGTATTCACCTCCAACCTAACAATGAATTTCGAAAAATACATCTCTTACCACTCAAAAATGTTGTGTGGTGAGTTATTTTAGATTACCTAATAAGTCTTATTCTCCACTGAAGTGACAGTATTTACGGATCACACCCCTTAATCTTTACTTTGTACGTCAATTTTGCACTCAAAAAGGCTTAAATATACTAGGCAACAGAGATTCTGTATTGTAACTATGGGATGCTCTAATTGATAGATTCCCACTTGCCCAGTTATCATAGCTTTCAGGTTATAAAACTAACTTGACGATAAAAATGTCTTCTCGAAATGTTGTTTAAAGGTTCGATTAGCAAGGTAAATTATACTTGTGTATACTCTGTAGTCAACAGTCATACGAAAGCGAACAGAATTTAGGCTTGCAGGAGAGCCTTCAAATGAGTTAAGTTACGCCTAGTATCTTACACTTCCTTGTTAGATCTCAGTGCATATTTTCCATCCACTTTACTGCATCTATGAAAATGGACTATGGCCATAGTTCATCTGAAGTACCAGTGCTTAACATTATATAGTCGTTAAGCATTTCGATTACATAGTAGTATCATATTCAATTTAACCCTTCAGTAATAGGCCTGACAAGTGTGTCTAATTACTACACTGCCGAGTCGAACAAACTTTAGACGATAATAGTGACTGTCATTTAAGCAGTAAAAACTACTTTGTTCGACCTTAAGTCCCTTCAGATTAAAAATTGGAGGCTTTTTGTGGCATTGTATGGTGGGGACATAATGTGAAAGGAAAACAACACAACGCTTAATCCCTTCATTGCAAATTTTACACGAAACAAAATTTTGTAAAATTTCATCACGTTTTTTATATTCAGAATAGACAATTTGATGGTGTCATACGAGTATACGAAGGGCACCAATAATTTACTGTTTTAAGAGCATTAATACCGAAACAATTGGTCATTTCAGAGACTATTCCAAACGTTTGTGTGAAAAAATTCTAGACTTCAAGAAAAAAAACAATCAAGGGTTTACACCCCTTTAGAAAGCTTTTAGACATAAACATCTGATTCTTATGTTATTTAAAAGAGAAACTCCTGATTTTGACAGTTCTCATTGGCCAAAAGTCAGTATGGAGACTCCAAGGTCATACCTAGTGTCGCCTAATTTTAAGTGTTATGTAGTGTAACTGACATAATTTATTTCAATAGTACACTGAGGTATTTGCTGTATCATTCTGTGCTTAGCTCTGTAGACAAGTCTTCATTACTTACAAGTTCTCAAAACAGCAAGATACGCATATTAAAAAGTCACAATGTCTATGATGCAAATCTCAAGGGTAAATTGGACCATGACCAAAAAGCTCATATTTAACACTAAAATTGTATATACACAATAAATTATGGTTTGATGAATAATGTTTGATAAGACTTGTTTAGTTACATTAAATCTGTCTTGTTATTATTAACTAAACAGAAAGCTGTTGGGGAGAATATATTAAATATAAGGAAGATATGATCAGAAGGGTAAATAGAGCAATTATGAGTACCATTCATTTGAAAAAAAACGTGCCTCAATAGTGGTAAGGGAACTAGATGAGAAACAATCTTCGTTACAATAACGAAATAGGGTGAAAATAGAACCATTATTGCAAATGTAGAAATCAAGTGTTGAAAGAATAAGAAAGAACCCACTGAAGCGGTAAATAAATCCTAAAAATAAATAGCTCTCTAAGTCTTCTACATCGGATGCTGATCACATTATTTTTAATCGACTCACCTAGCTGCAGTCGCTCGGTCATGCATTCACACCACATCACGAGTGGGAACGCCGTGCTCAACATCCCTTGCAATTGCTAGGTAGATTAGATCAGCCGATCCTTGATATATTGATAGCCTATCAAATAAACCTTCGAACCTCCTCGCTTCTGTCTTTCGATTTCACTTGGTGGATGCGATTCATATTAGGTGTTACTGGCTAAAGCGTCATCTTCACCCCAAATGAGGCCAGAATATCCTGACACGAAAGAAGGTGGGGGGTTCGCTCGACTCAAAGTGCCCTCATATAACATTATTTACAGCCATTTTCAGGGAAGTTCTAATCACTACCTTTCCACAGAGTGTTGTTTATGGAAGTGAGAGTAGTAAAATCGAACGTTCTGTACTTAAATTGGGTTGATTTATATGGAGTTGAGAGCCTATTATAAACAAATAGTACAGACACGCTCCAAGATCCTTATAGAACAAGTCGTGTATATACCTAACCTTGGTATCAGGCTTTCATGGAGTTGAATATCTTGACGTTGCTCCACTGATATGGAAAAGATTCCAAAGGCTTTATGTGCAGCCAAAAAATTGCGGATGACTGAAGGTTCTGCAATATACAAAAGTTTTACGGACACGCATCTTGACATCCATAGTTCGCTTATTTAGACGATGTTGACTCTATTACTGTCAAGCTCATATGGGTTATTCTAGATTCCGGAAAGACCAATTCATTCTCCTTGAGTCAAATATTGGGTTGTTAATCTTTCGCTTATCAACTTTGACTGTTCTTATATGAGGGTATGTGTGTATTTCACTTTCTCTGTTTATCAAGTATCTTTGGCTTGTCTCGTCTGGTTATAGATATTGAGTCACGCTTTATCAAAATGAGTTGCATGCTTGCCTTCTATATTTCACCTCGCTTTACTTTCCAACTCCTCACTCTTACTGCCTCTCTGGATAAACGAAGGCTTGAAGTAAATCCATTCAACCCAGCTCTTATTTGGCTTTCCATTACCGCCGTTGCACAAACAAGGTTATCCCAGGTGTAATATATGGAGTTAAAACGGTTGATTTATATTCATGACATTCATATATTCACTAAAATTGGAGTCAGATTACGCGTCACTCAAAAGTCAATGGATGTACGGGGATGTTTTGTGTCTATCTAAAGTTAAAGAGTAAGTGACGTCACGGACCGACAGTCACCTTTGTTAAATCACACTTACAGATCCTCAAAAATGTGTTGAATAAGATGCTTAGTCGAATGATCTACATAACTGACTGTACAGGTGCTGATGGGTGGGAATATACATATTGAGTTGTTCAGCTGTGACAAATTAACTTTAACATGGAGACATACGCGAGATAACATAATCAGTAATATGAAGGCTTATTACTTGAATATCTTTTGAATTTACCTCTCCAGACGATTTCTCGATGTACCATTAGCAACACCTTGAAATCAAAGTTGACCAAGGATAATTTCTTATGAATAAATTACTTAGTCTGTGAAGGCCGTTTCTTCTATATCATGTTATTGATAAATATCAACTTCTATTTGTTTTTCATGAGGGTATTTCATTTCCCAAGCAATATGACAGACAAACCTAGAGACATCATAAACAGGGTGGATGCAACTTCACTGTATTATTATTGGAACTTGAATATTAAGATTTTTGTTGTCTATGTAGAAAATACAAAGTTGTTAACAGTTCACTTGTCCCATCTAATATAATGTGTTAATTTGTGTCAGAATATGGGGATGAAAAATGGACGCGTTTGCAACACGAAGTAGTGGGTTGTGGTTGCATGTCCGTTTGTGTGTGTATAAATAGTAAGGTTAAATGTGGTTGTTTGGAAAAGCAGTACAGTTCGGATGGACATTCAACCTTCTATCCTATTCGGGGCAGTAGAATTTAGAACCATGTAAAACGCTTCGACTGCTCGCTTCTCTTTGTAATGGGCAAAGGTTTTCTGAATTATTTTGATATTTTTGGTGTCAATTAATGCGGTGACAGGTCATACAAATTCTCCTTGACCAAATATTACTTGACACTGACATATTCAGACTTATTATGGTTTTGATTGTGCTAAAAATGTTTTGCAATTATTGCTCTGTACTATTAAAACTTGTGTCAATTTATTCTAGGCTATTTATTTACTTCGGAAAAATGTCTTATATTAAGTCACGAATGGTCAGAAATACAATTTTTCTGCTCATTTGGATATAAAAAAATATATTTTTTAGAAAACAAGTTCTCTTAACCAAATAACAAAAATTCCTAGGTGTATCTTACAAGTGTCAATATCTTTCCTTTGGCAGCGATGTATCTATTTACACGACATATGTAATCAAATCTCACATAATAATTAATTTAATCACAGTCAGCGTACAATAAATTATTTGACCTATAATAATAATAATAATAATAATATATTCCTGCATGAGCAGGTACACTCCATTTTTTCAGACATCATCTTCAAATTACAACATTTGTTGGCGCACAGCATGCTTTCCAACTTATTAAGTATATAGTTGTTATAAAGCAGACTCGTAGAGCGCTTGCTGCAACCCATGACCTTGAAAAGACGTGTACGTCAAGTTTGTTTCAGACGTCAGAAGTTTCATCGCTGTGCCCCCAG